CTGGCTTTCTTGAAAACAACATTCTCCTTTTCCTCGAAAAAATTCTTTTCCTTTGTTACTCTCTTCTGTGTGTCCTTCTCTGTGTCCCCCTTCTGTGTATCCTTCTCGCTCTCCTGGTGTTTGTCCTTCTCAGCCTCCGTCTGTTTGTCCTCGGTCTTTTCCTCAGTTGCGACGTCATTCTCCCCCTGAACAAACACAGTAGATGGTAGAAACTGGCTCCGGTCAACAGCCGACTTGTTTAGAGGGTATATTCCTGCCTTCCGAAAGGAGCTCTGTAGGTTTTCGGCGGACAAGGCACGGGTGTAGGACCGGCAAGCAAGGTCGCAGATGCTGAATCTGGAGATAGATGAAGATGAGTGGGAACGCATGAATTTATGACACTCATTCTGATAAATTCTCTGGAATGGGCCAAAACAACCAACATCAAGAGGCTGGAGCACATGACTTGTGTGTGCAGGCAATACAAATAAAATCAAATTCTGTTCCTTGGCCCATTCAATGAGACTTAGAGAAATGTGAGATTTGTGCCCATCATACAGTAGCAGCACTGGTTCCTCCGGAGATCGGACCTGAACAAACTTCAGGAAGTGTTCATCCAAGTATTTCTGGAAAATCACAGAATTGGACCAGCCCGAGTCTGAAACAGTACCATCAGCTCCTGGTGTCTTGCCCTCCATCAACTCGTCACGCATGCGCTTGCCAGGGAAAATGAAGTAGGGCGGTATGCTCTGGCCAACTGCATTTCCACATCCTAGAACAGTTACTGTGGTTCGGTTTCCCGAGGTGACAGCACATGGTACAGTTCCAGCGGCAGTGACAATATTGGGTGGTTTATGATCCATCGAAAGGCCCTTCTCATCAACATTATAAATTCTCTCAGGCTTCTCAGTGAGATTGTACTTCAAAATAATATCCTCCAAAGTATCAAAATACTGACTCACACAGTCCTCCGATGTTGCACGTGCTCTCTGAAGTGCCAGCCCTCTTGGTTTCTTGAGGTCCAATTCCGGCCATCTGTTCATGAAATTGTAGAACCATTGAAAGCTGAGAGGATGCTCTTTATCACGTTTTCCCAAATCATATGCATAATCACTGGCAATGTTCAAAACCTCAGCCCGACTATATCCATAACCCACGCTGGCCAAAACTTTCAGGTGGTCAACAAGTCGGACCTCTTCCTCTTGTGTGAACAGTGGCGGTGGTCCAGATGCAGTGGTATCAATATCCACTCTGCCTTTAACCCTGTCACGCAATGTGGACTCTGGTACGCCAAAGATCCTCGCAGCTCTTTTAATAGCCATTCCGTCTTCAATGATGCTGCGGTAAGCCTTTGTCACAGTATCAGGTGAATATCTTGTCCGATAACTTGGTGGTGGTTTTGACTGGAATGAAAACCTTTTTTTTATTCATTTGCCTCAGAATGTTTTTTTTTTCAATTTAACATTTAGTATTTAGTTATTTATCAATTATCATTCATCTATTTATTATTTAATTATTTATTTTGCATTGAGCATTTATTGATCATCTAGTAATTATTTATTTTATGTATAGAAATTGGTATTTTGCGTCTACAGGCACCTACATGTAAATGGTATGCTTGTTTCATTCATCGACGTTATGTGTATTTTGTATAAGAAATCGTTTCGGTTCATTGCCATTTCGTATTTTTTGGTTACCCGGGCAATTCATTTCGAACACGTAACCGGAAGCGTCTATGGATACCGAAATGATTGGCGTTTAGAGTGAATTTTTCCGAGCCGTATTTCTTTTTCTGCAGACTTTTTATAAATGGACAAAAATGGACTTAGTGGGCAGGGGGTATTTATGTATCTTTTGGCAAAACATCAGTAAAATCTTACTTTTTTCAACTTGATACGAAGCATTTTCGTTCAGATAGTCGTGACTGTGTCTTGTCTGTCAAATCTCCCGAGTTGTGACGTCACCATCCAAAAATCTCTCGTGACATTCCATTTTCAAGATGGGGCGCGGAAACAGATGAGCGCGGAATAACATGACGGTAATGATAGTAGTAGTAGGCCTAGGCGGCCCAACGTCCTGCTTACCAGATTCAAAGGGATGATGCACAAAATTAATGTTACATGCCCACTATTATTATAGCCCAATCGGAAAACCCATTCGACTCTTCCCGTCATGCCTAGAAAACAGTATAGCGCTATCTATGAGCGCTATTCTCTGAATGGTCCGAGGGTACCCGAATGATTATGGTGGAGCCATGCTAAAAAGCGCCACCTATTGGACAAAAATACTACTATTATACCACTAAAAATTATGTTATGTCACTTATGTGTATTTTTATTATATGATTCATTATTAATTACACTATTAATTACTAATTACTAATTACACTATTGTTTATTAAGTACACTATTAATTACTAATTACAATTTTTAGTGGAGCTCTCCATCATGCCTCTTAAGGGTGTGATTTTTTAATGGAGCTCTCCATCATGCCTCTTAAGGGTGTGATTATGGAGCGTGAAAAGTCCCCCTATGGTGTTCTAGGGGCGTCATTAGTATCCTCCTGTACTTTTCAAATCTGAAAGCCTGTCAGCACATGTACATGTACATTTAAATTTGCGTACAGTATTTTGATAGGCCAAGGTTCAATCTTTCTTAAAAGTAATTGACTTCTGTTTAGAACATTTCGAAATAAGTGAATCCATGCAAGATCGTAGGAGGGACACGGCAGAAATGTCACGTTCGGTAGAATATGTGTTCGACTCAAAATATCGCAATACAGGCTGAATTTCCCTCTGAGCATCAAGTGATGGGGGCGGAATCTCTACCGCTAATATACTGCTAAATACTACTGTTATTACATAGGACTCGCGTGGATGTGCTGTGTATGTTACCATAGAAACTGAACAACCGTAACCGACCAACACGTACTCGATGGCGGTATAACAAGTGTATTTTCAATGCATTTATATAGGATTGTACATAGCCATAATGCTGGCGGTTGGCGATTAACGAGGGGCAGTATTACGAGGTTAAATTACCTACAAATAGACACAAATGATCTATACATTGGGATTTCCTGGCGATAAGTGAGATTGGCGGTATTATGAAAGGCAGTATAACGAGGTTTTACTGTATATCGCAACATCTGGGATTACGAAATGCGATAGCCACACATGAGTCTATCTCTTTGTTGATAGCAGGTTTACGTTATCGCATAGATCTATTAGTAGTATTAGCACATAGAACATAGGGCTATAGAACATTCTATTACGAATGCTAGGGACCAACTTATTCACGGGTTAATACTCACGGCTATAAAACGTCTGTGGTAGGCAATTAATGCCTCTTATCCGAAGTGAATATGTCTTAATTTACATCAGCTACTCAAATTTAACCTCTAACTATCGTTGAAATGGTCTGCTTGCGGTATTTCTTGTGAACGAACATTATTTACGAACTTCAAACGGGCATTTTTGGTGGCGCTGCAGCAGCGCCAGTCATCGGGTTGGTCCCTAGCATTCGTAATAGAATTTAATATAGCCCTGCAGCAACTTTACGCGGGCTATAGTACTAGAGCTACGTGATACCTAGCTCCAAGAAACGGTCTTGCTAGGATTAGAAGACCTAGTGTAGACAATCAGTCGACAATCAGCCTGTATAGACAGTCAGTCGCACAGCCTCGTCGGGCTAGGTAACACCTAGCTCTAGAACTATAGCCCTTCGCTCTGCCGTAAGCCTCCTGCGGCAGAGTGAAGGGCTATATAGTTCTAGAGTTAGGTGACACCTGACATTTGACAACACTACACTCAGACACTCATGCCACTCAACACTCAGACGCTCGACAGACACTCAGACACTTAGCAGACTGTCAGACACTCAACAGACACTCCGACATTCAACACTCGTGTCCGAAGCTGGTAATTTCGACCCAAAAAGTTTTACTAATTTTGACCCATTTTGGTAATCTCGACCCACCAGGCTAAGAAAGGGTGGCACTTAAAGGGATCGTTTACTCTAGGTTCTAGGGTTATTTTCAGTTAATTTAGGTTAAAATTATGCTACATAAAAAGTTTCATGGTTCAATCACCATTAGAAATATTATTAAAAAATGTTTTAAAACTAACGACTACAGTTTGATTACAACGACGGTGGGGCCACTCAAAGCGCACGATCTGATGAATTGCGCAAAACCACTTTTCATCCAAGGGATACAGACCGAGGGTGTTTCTTATTTATTAATTTAAAAGCAAAAGGATTGTAATATCTTATAAACGACATATAGTTTCAGTTATAATATGGATAAATTTGCCCTAAAATGAATATCGTTCGGTTAAATAGCATTAATGGTATAGGTAATCATATAGGTATAAAT